TATCAAGTTTGGATGACGTAAGTTTTATTAAAGCGTTCTCATTCTCCACTTTCCGAATTTTACTTTTGGGATGTGGGTAACTTCTAAAATTACCAGCGCAGACTATCCAGTTCTTGTTGGGAGTCGTAGTTCGCTGACAATTTACAAATAAGAGGCCTAGAGTCTCATTAGTTTTTGGCATTCAGGATCAATATTTCTCACTGAATGTGTGTCAGAGTTCATTAATAATGTGCACGTGGTTTTTGCACGTTTTTTGTCATGAATCATTCTCAGTTAAATAGTTATTGAAATGGTAAGTTGCTTTGCAATCGTATGTAGTATAAGACTTTCCATAATTATACATCTTCGTTCTTCTGAACGATGAAGGCTCCACGACCAAACCATCCAGCTCACAGAACAAAACTCCCAAATCATCCACCCGAACTACAAATCTTCACCATCTCATAAATGGTAAATGTTTTAAAACAATTAGTCCCTTTGATAAATTTCGATAATGCAATGAGAAGACAAAGTTTATTTTAAACCTATCTTTTCTATATTTTCGGTCTACTTTAATATTATCATTTATCTAGGTAGTCCAATCATGGTCGCCTGAATGAATAAATTTTTTGCCACATTATGTAGTCAAACTGGGATGAATCTTTCTAACCATATTTGTAATATAACATAGTCAAAGTCGTAGGTTTAAGGTGCCTAAGTTGGAAATTCGTGAAACGGTATTGAAAAATTCTGCAAAGTTATAGGTGTATCCTTATTTGTTCAGAACAGAAGCTTGTGAGTATAATGTAGTTTTAGCATGACTAAATAGTTTTTTTTCTCCAGAACTACTTTTCCTTACTATTAAAGTGGCATGACGCAATAGATTTCACCTTATAAACATATCCTACTATTTTACTTTCAGACCTTAAAATGTCTTCGTGATGGCTCCCTTATCAGAAGTACAGCTAGTACTAACATGAATACTCAATCCTCCCGTTCCCACGCTATATTTACACTGCACATTAGACAACAGAGATTATTAAAATATGAAGAGGTGAGTTCAAAGTTCATTTAATTGACATTGATATCTAATGTAAATCATTTATCAAGTGTAGGCTCATGTACTTATCTTTAAACCAGTGTTAGGTATACTACCTGGATGCTAAAACTGAAGTAGGTGTAACGAATTTCAAACCTGCGACTTACTGGCTAAAAGCTGAGTATTTCTACCTTCAAGTCGATTGAGTGAACACATTTAGATAAACGGCTATAAATGAATAAGGGATCGTTTTCAAATTTGATATAGAAACTCTGTAAGCTTCATACTAGTATACTATTTTGTAAAAAAAACTAGTTACAATTATGTTAAACGATATTCAGAGTGTTGTCAGACATCATACTGAATGTGTTTGGTTATGCCTTAATAAAGGATACCTACTGTTCACTGTTTACTTTCAAGGTATATCTATGATGACAAACTAACAATTGTTCAAACAACTCATTATATTTATTATTTTTATCCACTGTAACCTGAACTCCATGTCTTTCATGCCGTCTTTGAGCTTATGTGAAGTGGAACAACGTGAGTTAATCCACGTATGTACTAATTCTTGGGTGGTTGATGGATTGTTGGTGGGTTGTACTATTCGAATTTCGAGATGTCCCTGCCATATTATAGCAACTTAAGGACATCTCGGAAATCTAAATCTGTTTTTCGACTTAAGAATGATCACTAAACACAAAATATTATCTTACTAACTAGTTGTAAATCATCCAATTTTGTGTAGATATTAATAAGCCTGTCTGTGATATGTAAATTAACTACATGTGCAAAAAAAATATTGGTTCAAGCGTCTTTATATTAGGGGTATTTGGTTTTGATTTTGTTTAAGAAGGAATTTAGATAAGCACGCATACACGCATACAGGATTCCAGTGTGGTCATTCACTTGACCTCACCTCGATAAAACGGAGAGCCAACGAGATACACCCTCCGTGTATCTGGTGACCCAATGGCCAGCTCTCGTGGACTGGTAGGAGTAGGGATAGCACTAAGCATAAGGGCGGAACAAGCACTGTTAGAGTGGATCCCCGTTAACAGTCGTTTATGTGCTGTTCGGCTAAACGGCTCCGTAAGAACTCGGAAGGATAGGGACACACGTCGTTGCCTTTTTGTCGTTTCTGCCTACGCTCCCACTGACTGCAGCTCAGATGAAGTGAAAGATGAATTTTACAGAAAGCTATCTGAACTTCTTCAGAAAGCTAAACGTTCAGACATAGTACTCGTAGCAGGTGACTTTAATGCCCAGATAGGTAGTTTAAACCAAACAGAAAGGCATTTAGGTGGGTATTTTAGTATTCCAGCACAACGAACAGATAATGGTGATCGTCTGCTGCAACTGTGCTCAGACAATCGTTTATTTTTAGCAAACACAAATTTTAAGCATAAGGAGAGACATCGTCTAACATGGCGACCCCCTACACCAAACCAACGATGGACTCAAATAGACCATATTGCCATCAGTCATCGTTGGAGAGGGTCGGTAGAAGATTGTCGCTCATTCTGGAGTACCTGCTTGGACTCTGACATGGGCACGCATCTGCTTGCGCCTCACTGGACGCAAAAAAGCCACATTAAAAAGACCCATTAGAACTGAATTGAGTAGCGAGAAAACCAAAAGTAGGTTCCAGGAACAACTGAGGTCACAATTAGGTAGTTCTGAAAACGAGGCTGACCCAGATGTTGCTTGGAAAGCTATACAAACAGCTGTGGAAACAGCAGTGACATCTATCAGTGATTTAAACCACAGGGTTACAAAGAACCAATGGATTTCCTCAAGGTCTATTGCACTGATGGATTCTCGTAAACTCGTCCCATCAGGCTCTGAACACGATGAAGAGCGTAAACAAATCAGATCTAGGTTAAGCAAAAGTCTAAGAAACGACCGTGAGCAGTGGTGGGCAACGAAAGCAAAAGAGATGGAAAAGGCGGCGGCTATAGGGAACACAAGACAGCTATACAGACTAATAAAAGAAACTGGAATTAATAAGTCAAGTGTAAGTCAGACTATTTCGGAAAAAGACGACACTTTCATCTGCTCTCAGTCCAGACGTTTAGAACGATGGGCGGAACATTTCAGAGAACAGTTCAGCTGGCCTTCAGCTACTCTACAACTACCCTCCATTCCCAGACAGTGTGAATGGAACATTGAAGTAGGTCCCCCAACTCTGGCAGAAGTTCAAAAGGCTATAGTTAATCTGAAACGAGGAAGGGCAGCTGGTCCAGATGGATTGGCTCCAGAGGTCTTTAAGGATGGTGGTCCAATTTTAGCGATTAGGTTGACTAATATTTTAGCTAAGATCTGGGAGTTAGACGTTATTCCATCTGACTGGTCACAATCACTTATCGTCCCAATATATAAGAGAGGGTTAAAATCATCCTGTGACAACCACAGAGGGATTAGTTTAACTAATATAGTATCTAAAATACTAGCCTCGATAATTATCAGACGCCTAACTAAGACTCGTGAACTGCAAACACGAGAGAATCAAGCTGGCTTCAGACCTGGTCGTGGCTGCATCGACCACATATTCACCATTCGTCAGGTTCTAGAACACAGGCATACTTATCGGCGTCCGACAATGGTGGTCTTTCTCGACTTAAAAGCAGCATTTGACTCGGTAGACCGCGAGATTCTGTGGCAGTGTCTGTCATTGAAAGGCGTACCTCAGAAGTACATAAACCTTGTGAAGGCTCTTTACTCGAACACTACTAGTCGAGTCAGAGCTTATGGCGAACTGTCATCTGCTTTTGCAACCTCAAGTGGTGTCCGTCAAGGCTGTCCACTTTCCCATTTTTGTTTAACTTCATCATAGACCTATTGATGGAAATAACATTCTCGTCGACTGAATTCTCGGGTATTGATCTCCATCCAGGAGGTCCACTTATCGACTTAGAATACGCAGATGACATAGTCCTGTTTGGTGAAGACGCTGATAAAATGCAGTCTTTTGGTAGCACTAAGCAACAATGCCAGAATGTTTGGAATGCGCTTCTCTCCCTCTAAATGCAAGTTGTTGCTTCAGGACTGGTCTGCGTCAACACCTGAACTAAGGATAGGGAGTGAAGTAGTCGAACGCGTTGACAACTTCACTTATCTTGGAAGTCTGATCAGCCCTAATGGGTTGGTGTCTGACGAAATCTCAGCACGGATTCGAAAAGCTCGTTTGGCTTTTGCCAACTTACGTCACCTATGGCAAAGGCGAGATATCCGTCTATCAATAAAAGGACGAGTATACTGCGCGGCAGTCCGTTCTGTTTTAATTTATGGCAGCGAAACATGGCCATTAAGAATAGAAGACATTCGTAAGCTACTAGTATTTGACCACAGATATCTTAGAAATATTGCTGGCGTCTGCTGGGATTACCGGGTAAGTAATAGTGAGGTTCGACGCAGGGTATTAGGGAATAATGGTAAATCAGTTGATGAGGTTGTGAATCCTCATCGACTGAGATGGTTGGGCCACGTGTTACGTATGCCCGAACACCGATTAGCACGACGTGCAATGCTAACCGATGTTGGAGATGGTTGGAAGAAAATTAGGGGGGGGGCGGCCTAACCAAAGCGTGGCATCAGTGCTTGAAGTCACTAACTTGTAGTCTGAGCCATGTTGGTAGATGCAGACTACCTGGTTGGGGTCCGCGTGACTATCGTACCCACTGGTTGGAGACTCTTGGTGACATGGCTCAGAATCGATCACAATGGCGTCGGTGTATACACTCTCTGTCTTCCCTTAAACTAAGAGATTAAAATCGCTTCAAATCTTTCTTTCTACGAACTAATTCTTTCTTCCTATACTATATCCTTATATGCAATCTTTCTTCTATATGTTACCACCACTGACCTAACCACTCCTATGAATCCGGTGTTCATCTTGCTGTGCTAATGCGGTATGGCAACCTATTATTTATTATTTATTTGGACACATTAATATTGGTACAAGAGAGCGCCAATATATATGCGCCACACAAAACAATGAAAATTCGAGAGGAATACAAAGAAAAAAAAGCTAAGGAGCGCAACAAAAAAAAGAGAGAACAATAACGAAGAGATTGGTGTAAGGTAATGTGCTAGTAATCAGGGAACGCAAAGGTACAATCGGAAGAAATCTTTCAGGTAAGGGAGACACAACCACTTTTTATGAAGAAAGTAAAAGAAGGTTACAGCAGGATCGCCACTGGCTTCTATTCTGAGCCATATCTGATAACGTCTCTAGCCACTGTGTAGCACCATCTCTCAGACCCCAACCAGGGAGTCGTGAAGGACCAACACAAGCCAGTCCTTTGCAGCTTTCTTTCATGCCACGACACCATGTCATGCACTGACCACCTCTCCGCTTCTTCCAACCAGTCCCAGAGTCGGCAAATAATGCACGACGTGGAATTCTCTGGGACGACATTCGGAGAACATGTCCAAGCCACCGAAGTCGGTGTTTCAAGATGGTGACACCAATTGAATTATCATCTCTGTGCCCGAACACACGATGCCGAACCTCTGCATTACTGACATGGTGTTGCCACTGAATGTCAGCAATCCTTCGGAGACAGCGATGATCGAACACAGAGAGTCGTCTAACGTCCTCAACTCGGAGAGGCCAGGTTTCACAAGCATAGAGCAAAACTGCTCTCACCGACGCGTTGTAGATCCGACCTTTTACAGCCAGACTAACATCACGAAGGCGCCAAAGGTGGCCCAGATTGGCATAAGCCGCTCTGGCTTTCACTATACGTGCATTGATCTCATCACTCACACCCCCACCAGCACTTATGCAGCTACCCAGATACACGAACTTCTCGACTACGTCTATCTGCTCACCATCCAGGGTGAGTACAGGATTGGAATCCTGCCAGTCTTGTAGAAGTACTTTGCACTTCGAAGGTGCAAAGCACATACCATACCTACGGACACTGATTGCCAACTGATTAAGTGCGGATTGCATGCCTTGGGCATTATCGCACAGTAAGACAATATCGTCCGCATACTCAAGGTCGAGAAGTCTTTCTCCAGGCAACAGATCCACACCACCATTACTTACATTCATCAGAGCTGTTTCCAGAATGTCATCGATGGCAAAGTTGAAGAGGAATGGTGAGATTGGGCAACCCTGCCTAACCCCACTGCTCGAATGGAACAATGGAGAGAGGTGGTTGTATGCCCTCACTCTGCCTGAGGTGTTTTATATAGGGCTTTTAGGATGTTAATAAACTTCTCAGGCACACCCTTCTTCAATAGACAATCCCAGAGAACAGTCCTGTCCAACGAATCGAAGGCAGCCCTGATGTCAAGAAACACTACGATTGTTGGCCTTTGATAAGTATGGCGGTGTTCTAACATTTGGCGGAGGGTGAAGATATGATCAATACATCCTCGACCAGAACGAAACCCAGCCTGCTCCTCGCGAGTCAATCTTTCTCGGGTTTTGAACAACCTACGAAGTATGACGGAAGCCAATAGCTTGGACGCAATCGGAAGTAGACTTATCCCCCGATAGTTGTTACAGGAACGACGTGAACCCTTTTTAAAGATAGGGACAACTATCGACTCATTCCATGACGTTGGTACACTCTCTAGTTCCCAAACCTTTGTAAACAACGTCGTCAATTCCTTAGTCAAAAAGTCACCACCATCTTTAAAAAGAGCCGGAGGTAAGTCATCTGGGCCAGGTGATTTGTAACGCTTCAAGAGTTGGAGTTCCTTGCGGACTTCCTCCTCGTTTGGTGGATCAGTCGTCACCGGCCATGGAGGGCAGGACAGTCTGACCGATGTTGCCGGAGCAGCAGGCCAGTTGAACTGCCCTTCGAAAAATTCTGCCCATCGTCCAAGACGTCGATGGATGTTAGTGATTGGCATCCCATCATCCTCGCAGATTGTTTCACTCACACCAGACTTCTTGCTGCCAGTGGCTCGGATGAGCTGGAAGAGCTTCCGGTAGTTACCAGATGCAGCTGCTGCTTCCAGCTCATTAGCACGCTTCGACCACCAGGCTTCTCGGTCCTTACGCAAGCTTTGCCCAATTTCCTTACGTAACATCCTTCGTTTATGGTCAAACTCACGGTCACCCGGAGTAGACCAGACGAAGATGCCACAGGGTCCCCGGATAAGCGCACGTAAAACAAGCTTTTCGAAGCGACAGATGGAGATCGAATTTGTAGTTCTTCGCCAGAGTCTTGAATACGGGTCTCGGATAGACAACAAACATCAATATCAAGACTTTCCAAAGACATAGCCAGCCCTATCTGTTGACCAACCTGCATAAGTGTGCGAACGTTGAAGGCAGCCAGTTTGAATGGCGCACGTGGTTTCAGAAAAACTGCTTCAGTACTCATATTCGTTGGTAACATACAATTTTCAACCGGACAGTGACTCGAGAACGTTTAGATACAGTCGGATTTCCACCAAAGACGAGCCGCTGTATAAGTATAAAGGAGGGTGAATAATGTGGAAAATAATAATAATAATAATGACAATAATAGTAATAATAATAGTATTAATAATGACAATAATAGTAATGATAATTATTTGAATCGACTGATTGTTTTTCGGAGCGAGAAAAGCAGTTGCCATAGACATAGAGTTCATCGTTTGTGTGTGGGCTGTGGTACTGCCCGGGTGCCCAAACTAAAGCAGATGGTTTTCTTAGAGGGCCAAACCCGGAGCCTTTGACCTCAAGGTCTGATCCACAAGGCAGCGGAGCATCGTAAGGAGATGCATTCCCGTGGTATCCGGTGATCAATGATTGGTTCATACGCCATTTGTTTCCTCGGGATCCTGGAACTCGTGTACACCATTGGTTTGGAATCAGGGTTTCCCAACTCCCCTAGATGGACTCACCGTGCCCACCGGCCCGGTTAAGGCGCCGGACATCCGCTTTTCGTCCTCTCAATTTCATAAACAACACCCCGCCACGAGAAGGCAGTGAGTAGGACTTCCCTGGCAGAGGCTATATGCGGGTGGCTATGTGAGAGCATTTCGAGAGGGAGAGCAGACTCTCCCCACTCTCGACCGTACCACGGCATTAGGGGACGAAAATAAAAATAAGTAAAAGGTGCTAACATTCAAGATTTAGAATGTGTAAGTCTGTCTTGCGTCAATACGATTTTTTTTATCTGAATATCACCTAAGGACTCCAAACAGTAATTTTTCTCATTTCAAGTACCTTAACGCAAAAGGTCAATACCCTCATTGGTTGACGCAGTGACTTATAATAATGTTTATTAAATATAACTTCTATCTACCTTCGGAATCTTGATGATGATTCCTTCGAGTGCTCTGGTCACAAGATCTACACGATAATTCGTCATTGTCATTTTTTCGTAAACGGTTGTTATTTGTTATCTTGATGTTCTGATGTGAGAACTTATTCTTTTCTAACATTCTGTAGTGTTGGAATAGATCGCATAAATTTCACTCGTCATCTTGATTCTTTTATTGATTAGCTATGTGATTGAATTTTTTCAAATCAATAGGATACAAGTGGACACAAGAAAGATGTTCAGTCAGACGCAGATCCTGATCCTAATTCTACAGTTACTGACCAAGTGCCTGAATATGAAACACTAACTGCAAAATTCCATTTTGTCGACCTTGCCGGCAGTGAGCGTCTTAAACGAACTGGTGCTACTGGCGATCGTGCCAAAGAGGGTATATCAATCAATCGCGGTTTAGTAAGTGATGGGATCATTCATAGGTCACTCTTAAAGGAAGTGATCTATAGATTGGATTTTGCTTCTGATAATTGGTTTATTATTAGCTTAGATATTATCCGAACTGCTCTTTATTTTGTACATACTTTACGTTTGTGACTTATGGACCCATATACGAATATATATGTAGTTCTTAGTTTTGTATCTTATAATTCTTTTGCTAAATTTAGCAATGAGTGAGCGTTTTGCGTGGTATTATCTCTATTTACCAAGGTAGATTCTGTCCACTTTTTTTAAAAGGAAAAGTTCTCTAATGCCTGTTTATTTTGTTAACCATGTTGTTTTTTAATCGTTTTCGTATGAACCTCAAAATTCTCATGAGATAAAAAAACTAATAAAGTAAAATGAATTCACCTTTATCTCATTAAAATTATCCGGTTACCGCTTCACAATTCTTTTACTTAACAATCGTTCACTTATAGAAAACAATATTATTTTAAGGATATATAAAGTTTTACTATGATGTAACAGTGAAACGTTAGTCATAAGCAACCTAGAACCCGGGGCATATGTGTATATGCAAGTTGTCATATTACATCAATACAGCAAGAAGAAATTATCAAGACAAATTCCAGTGTAGTAGAAACAACGACAGTACCAGTAGTAGTAAAAAATATTAAAGATATACAATATGATTCGGGGAAAAAAGAATGAGTTCGTGAAACAAAAATGTACAGGGGGAAATCTGCATGTGGTAATGAAGTTTATAGTGGTCTTGACAACCTACTGTTGAAGATGTGACTTTAAGGGTCGGAGATTCAATTTTACTCATACATCATCTAGAAAGTTTAACAATTGAAATTAGAAGTATCAGTTTTTGGGTGATTATTGTCGAATTTTCTGGGAATGCATGATTGTCCAATAGAAATTTAAGTAATGGACACGTTCCACAAGTTCTAACTTTTTATTTAAAGTAGAAAAAATTGATTTTCAGCTACATACAAAGGTTAACGGTCAGGTCTTAGATAGCCACAATTTCATTCTCTCTGCTTTATTAACTTAGAACATAGTTTATAGATTACTTTTATACTATTCTCTACTTTGATTTAGTTATTTACGTATAATTTAATTGTATGAACTAATTATAATATGAAATTATTTAATTATACAGAATAAATAATCATTTTTCTTTTAAAACAATATTTTTTATATTTTCAACTCTCTTAATGATATTTTATAACCTGTACTGAATGGTTACTTCCCTTATGTATTGTTTCCCGTTTGATTTTTTCTTTCATAGAATAATTAATTTATCAAGTTAATATAATTAACACCAACTCTCTTAACTTTATTATTAATCAATAACTCGATAATAAATGGCAAACTTATACATCTTTTATTTTTTTATTTTTTGCCTTAATTATTTTATTATCTCACCTTAAACAACCAAGTGCATTCAAGGTCAGTGTTAGTGATCATTTATAAAATAGAAATTTATCACATTTATTTGTGCTTAAGAAATCATTGAACTTTAAACTATTGGTGTATTTGGAAGAAAAAAACATTTTTTTAATAGTGAGTAATCTTATCGATGCATTTTATCTATCACTATTTTATATCAATGTGTTATAATCTCTTTCTTACGGTTATGACCCAGCTATTCCTATTGCTTAGTATTCTCGGACACCGATTCACTCGACAAGTCCTCAAATCAGAACACGGTTGAACAGGAAAAAGATTATATCCCAAATAACAAGGTTAGATGGAAGTAAAAAGCACAATAGGGAAAACGTTAGTATATTTATAGTTTTTACATGAGATTCCAGAGTATTCTCCAAGTATCGACTAGTGCTGATTGG